CAGGATCTCATGATCTACTTCTATATCCAAGACTACAAAATCAGTAGAAAAAATGAATTTATTTATTCTAACTAGTATATCTTTTACTATCCCTCTCAGATATTTCAGCGAACGATGAGCCAACTATAAAGTCACAAAAGTGGGTTTCGCTTCTCCTATGCCTAGCTTCTTGAAAATTAATGAAGCATCAAATTGATACTAGCACTTAAATGACACAAAGCCCTATCAAAGGATATACTACCAATATCAAATGGCATACTACCAATGGTGCAAGGAATGGTAAAACTCTCAGGGTCTTTAAACTTTGTAGGTAGTATTTTCTGAATTAGTGAACTACACTCACTGGTGAGTGCCACTATCTTATAATCCTCTAATCTCTTTTTTTTTGGAGATAATGCCATTTATAAACTTGGCATAAGTAGGCATCTACTTTAATGCATTTGTAAAAAAGGATGTTAATGTGAAGCTTCCTAAACACCTCTAAAAACTTGGAGAATTGTTTCTTCTCTTTTTGCTTCTAGAATCTCTAAGGGAAACCTTTTTACTAGGTACTGAAATATGGGTAGGTGTTTGGGTAGGTACAACCATCTTATCAGCCTTCTTAACTTTTTCTTCCTTTTAAACTATGACTTCCTCTTTCGTATCCTTAAACTCCTTTACTACATCAATAAGTTCATTTTGGACAAGCTCACTAGCTAATTGCTTACCATTTCTAAGGTTGATTACTTTGCATTGTTCTTTGCTTTCTTTTTTAAGGTTAATTTTAGTGTTACTAGGTAAAGTGCTATTGGGTCAATACTAAATAGAGTAGTTAACTGTACTCTCTATGTCTTTAAGCTTTTAATGGATGTAGTCTGGTTATAAAACATGGTATTCTAGGTTTACATGAAAGCAGTCTAGGTGTTAATCAAGGAACTCAAAAGATTCTTAATTAAAGATTTCTTCTCAAAAGATGGAAAAGGTTGGTATTAAGAAGTGTATAGATGTGGGTGATGCTGCTGATATGAAATAAGGTGAAAACTATGAGGGTTTATGGTTTGGCAAAATAAAGCTATTGAGTAGCATGAGTGGATTGAACAAGAATAGCATTTTGACTTTATTGTTGATTCCATGAGAAAGCTAGGTTATTCTTCTATCCAAGGTTATATGTGGAAACATAGGGTTTATTCAGCTATCTAGTGTTTTAACCTAAGTACCGGACACTCTCGGTTTGACTAGGACATGAATCACTTGTATGACCTACCCCACAAATTCAGCTACCTAGTGTTTTGACCTAAGCACTGGACACTCTTGGTCTAACTAGGACATGAATCACTTGTATGACCTACCCCACAAACCTCACAACATGTAACTGAACTATGGGTAGACCTCAGCTCACTATGACTAGACTCAAAAGATGTAGCCTTAATATTTAAAAACTTAATACATTTGGCTAGGAAATATAACTTAGCACTTAAAACATTAAACTCACTAAGTTCGTACACTCCTAAGGCTTTCCTAAGATTTTGTCTCCCATTAGACCTTGACAGTTATTAATAGCCATGTGCTCAATCAAATACTAAGCAATATCAAAAGTCTTACTCATAAGGGTACCACTTGCAACAACATTTAGTATAGTCCTAGTGGCAAGTATCAACCTACTATAGAAAATCTAGATTTCTAACCATCTTAGTAGTCCATGGTGTGGACACTTCCTCAAGAGCTCCTTGTATCTTTCCAATGTCTCATACAAGGTCTCTGAGTCATGTTGGCAAAAATGGAAATATTATTTCTAAACTTAGCCATCGAGGTTGGAGGAAAAAACTTAGCCATAAACTTTAATTAAATCATCCCAAGTAGTAATGGAATCTGGTGGCATAGAGGTTAACCAACTCTCGATTTATCTGTAAGGGAAAAAGAAAATAACATAAGATTAATGGCATCCTCAGTAACACCATTATGTTTGAAAATATCACATCTCCAAAAAATCCTATAGATGAGCATTAGGGTCCTCACTTGTTTGACCACTAAATTGCATTGAATTTTGAATCATCTGGATGATTGCAAGTTAATCTCAAAGTTATTGGCTTGAATGGTTGGCCTCCTAATGCTAATTTGTTTGGCCATTATGATAGGATCCCTTGTCTCTCCCTTCTAAGTCTCTTAAGAGTGCTTTTTATCTTTGGATTTAGAAGGATCAACTCATGACTCCAGTTGAGTGCATACATCAGCCATAAGGACAAGTAGACTAAATAAACAACTTCTAAATGAGAGATCAAGGTTTGTACAACTAATGAAATGCGACAATAAAGAAGTTAGTTTTGCACACCCTAAAGAAACAAGATCAAGGCAAGTTAGTAACTAGCCTATCATATGTACACTAAGGGTGAATTAGTCTATAGATGAGCATGCCAAAGCATGATATTAACCTAAGACTCTTGACTTTTAATCCCTGGTAACGATACTAAGAACTTGATTGATGATTTTTGCAAGCTCACAAATCGTTCAAGTAATAAAAGTGACCTGAGTAAAGATATCGTCCCATAGGGATTAGTTAGAAATCCTAGATTAAGTACCTATTATATTCACACTCAACCTAAAGTTAATTCAATCAAAGAGAGTAGACAATATGAGACTAGTATCAACTAGTATCAACAAGTATAAAAAACCAAAGGCAAGAAACACTAATCATTGAAAGCATATCTATAACATACAAAGCAAGCATACTAACAAAACTTAACAAAGCATCAACTAAAGTGCTATGAATTAAATCTAACATGTTAAAAGTAAATCTAAACTAAGAAACTAAAATTAGAAAGCTCAAGTGATAACCAAATAGCAACTAATAATTAAGAACCAAAATTAACTACCTTTTAACTTCTAAGGGAAATATGATCTAGAAACCTCCTAAAATTGATCCAAACGAGTTCTAAATTAAGAAAATAGTAAGTACACATGAATCAAAACGCAATTTAATAGCAATTTAAGAAGCAAAATCACAAGAACAATAAGAAAAGTGCAAAGTGAAATAGATATTCAAATATGGAAATTAACTAAATTAAGAGAAAAACTTAGATCCACAAACCTACAAAGCAAATGAAATGAAACTGAGCTACAAGTTTACTACAAGATTCAACAAAAAAATCAAAAGAAACAATGCAAAATCAAGCTCAATGAACTTCAACAAGAACAGAATGCAATAAAGAGATAAACAAAGTATTCAAGAGAAAATCATCTAAAAATTTTTGAAAAATATGGAACAAAAAGAAAATAATTGAATCTAAGCAAGTAAACATATAAATTAATAAGATAAGAGTGAGAAAAGATTGGATTGATCGCCTAACAAGGAGACGTGAATCTTCAAGTGTTGTCATCACTTGATCTCCTACTCTATTATCGTATCTCCAACCAAAAATATTCATATTTTTGTAGAATTTTGTGGAATGAATTTGAAAATGAAATTTTTTAGATTTAAAGAGATATGAATTGAGAGTTTATAAAAAAAAAATTGGATTAAAACTTGCAAGATTTGAAAGAGATATGAAGTGAAAACCACAGCTACCCAAACAAATTTGAACAATCAATGAAAATACATGAAATTGAACAAGGAAACTTGAAGGAATTGCACTTTTATTGATTGAATCTTAAAGTGCATGTAAAATAAAGGCAAGAAAAGAAATTTTTTGCCAAACAACCCCCTAAAATAATAAGAAGGAAACTACTAGAGAGAAAATTAACATGAAAGTAAAAATGCAAGAAATGAAAAAATATAAAAAATTGTAAAAACTCTTCCAATTGGCCAACCATCCATCTTATTTATAGGCCAAGGATGATGTGTTCCAACCAATCAAATCATAAAAAAATGCCACCTTAGATGCCGCATGGCTAGATATTTTCACATCATCCAATCTTGCTTCATAAGCTTCCTAGTTTGCTTTAATTCACTTCACTTCAAACTTTCTTCCTTTGATCTTGTAAGCTTCAAAAAGTCAGAATTATAACCAATGAGAAGCCTCCAAATTGCCAAGTAAACAACTACCCATTGGCCTTCCTTTTGAATCCTAGAAATGGTGCCATCTTCACTTGTTCATCATATTTGCATCTAATGGTTGTGATTGCTTCTTTTTTCCAATTTTAGGTGCCAATCGTAACTCCCTTTCTTCTTCAAATTCCAATCAAATAAGAGCTATTTAATTGCCAAATTAACTTTATAAAGCTTTGGATTTCAGCTCCAATTATAGCTTAAAAACCATACCTATGTAAGTGACACAAATTTAACTCATGTAATTTTACTTGAAATATGACAAGCATTAATGAGCTAAAATGGATATTTTCACAAGAAAAATATGAAGAATAAAGTTTTAATTAAAATTTCAATAAAGCTCAATTAAGCAAAGGAAGTAAAAAAGATAAATGTAAGAAAAATCTCCTAAGTATGGCATTTGAGCAAATGCACATTAGTTCCAGCCTAATGACATTTTTTGCACCAAAATGCATTTAAATTGAATCAAAATATTACATTTTTTCTCTTTTTCTCATATTTTTACCTACATATTGAATATTTAGGCAATTAAGAATAATTTTGCCAAATTTATGAAGAAAGAAACAATTATTCACTAAAAATTGTACTAAAAAATGATAAAATATTAAAATTTTAATGTAATCAATTTCATACTAATTGTTGGATAAAAATTCAATTTTAAGTATTAGATTTAATAAAATTATAAAATTTATAAATTTTGATTTTTAAAATTTAAATTTTAAAAAATATTTTTTATATTTTAATTTAATATAATATTTTTAAAAAATAATAATAATAATTTAATTTATTAATGAAATTTTTTATCGCAAAAAAAAAAAAAAGCACCTCATTTATTAAAATAAGGCCGAGAGAAAGATCAGAGGCCAGTGTTGAGAGAGGATCTGCCAGCATGGCGTTTCCCAATGGAAAAATGGAGGGACACGTGTTTTGATTTGGTCCAACTGAATATTGAAGAGGAGTCCCCTGTCATCCACAGCCGTTTCCTGAGCAACAGTTTTCTGGCCAATCACATTTGTCAAAGCTTTGGAGTTTCATCGCTTACAACTTGAAAACATTTTCTTACCACAAAACATAGGGACGAACTCAATCAACTGAATCAACCATGACTTTGGCCCCCGGCACTTATCCATCTATCTGCTCTTCGTCGCCATTACAACCTCTGTTCTTAACCAAGCATGTTGTATTCAGCAAGAAGTGCTCATTTTCGAGCACTTTTTCAGCGTCTTTCTGCAGTTGCAAGAAGCAAAAGCCGTCAGTTTTGGTCGTCAAAGCAACGGAAGCTGAGTCCCAAACAACAAATCAGGAGATGGAAAGACTTGAAGAGCAGTACGAGGAGTATGAGGTAGAGATTGAGCAGCCTTATGGGCTGAAATTCAGAAAAGGCAGAGATGGTGGAACTTACGTTGATGCTATTCTGCCTGGTGGAGCAGCTGATAAGGCTGGGGTTTTCACTGTTGGAGACAAAGTACTTGCCACCAGGTTTCGTATATTTGTATTTGCATATGATATACTTGTTTGTTTTAAATTGTTTTTCTTTAGTTTCCTCATCTTTTTGTCAACTAACGAAAGACGGCATCACAGATTCATATTCATTCCCATCATTTTATTTCATTTGTTCAATTTTAAGTCCTTGTGGGCAACTTCAATCATTTTGTCAGATTCCATTCTCCATGGATAAGATATTGTTAGTGGAGTGTTGGATGTCTGGTTAATTTCCCAACTGCCACACCAAATTAGAACTAGATGGTGACCTATGAACTCTTGATGGGAATGCAGTGCAGTGTTTGGGACAGAAATATGGCCTGCCGCTGAATATGGGAGGACAATGTACACCATCCGCCAGAGAATTGGTCCACTGCTTATGAAAATGCAGAAGAGATATGGTATGTTATCACCCTGATCTTGCTTCTTCTCCTTTTTCTCTTTATTTAAAATAAAAAAGAGAGAACAATTACTTTTTGAGACAAATGATTAGCAACCTATTCTTGAATATGATTATAAATACACATTAGCCTTTGCTCAGAATTAAATTTTGTTGGCAATCAAAACTTGCAATGCCCTTGTGAATGCTGCGTGGTGATGAGAAAAATATTGGCGTTTTCCAGGGAAAGTTGATGATGGAGGTGAATTGACAGAGAAGGAGATTATTAGAGCTGAGAGGAACTCTGGAGTAATTAGTAACAGAGTGAGGGAAATCCAAGTAATTTCTCTGGCAAACTTGGCAATCGGTTCCCATCTGAAATTGCATGCTAGATAATTTCGTAACCTTCACTTCTAGTTATACCCTTTCTATATTATAACACCAATATAGTGTCTGCAATGTATTGCTCGAATCTCAGATGCAAAACTATTTAAGGAAAAAGGAACAAAAAGAACGCAGAGCAATGGATCTTCGTGAAGGGTTGCAACTATACAGGTAATGTCTGATGTAATTTCAAAACTTGTCCTTTGCTCATGTCTATATTTATGATTCAGTCCTCTTCCAAGAACATCAAATTCTCATGCATATCCAATTATGTTTGAGCACCTAAATAGGTTTAGTATTAGTTTCTGAGCTATGGTTCTGAAAAGCTCTATCCATCTGATATCTACTTCCTTTTCTTTTATTGGGAAGGAGCGGCAAATATGAGCAAGCACTGGAGAAATTTGAGTCTGTATTGGGATCAAAGCCAGAGCCTGATGAAGCATCAGTAGTGAGTTACAATGTGGCATGTTCTTATTCAAAGCTTAATCAGGTAGTTGATAAAAGAATATCCTTGCATCTTTTATTTATATTATATTGATTTGGGAAGTATGGGTTTTGGCATAACAAACAAACAAAAATATCCACTATCCAGGCTTCTTTACTGGACTACCACTTTGAGTTTGTTGGTTAACATGGAATAAGTTTCTGAGTTGGTGTTGAAGTATGCATAATCAGGCTTCTTGATTAAATCCATGCAATCATTTTCCGCATTGAAACTGTTTACAGATTCAAGCTGGGCTGTCAGCACTTGAAAATGCCTTGCAGGCAGGATTTGAAGACTTTAAGGTAATAATCAATTGCACTGCATGCACTTTGATTTGTTAATCAAGTTTATTGACGAACTTGTTGCTACTGTTAACAGAGAATCCGGACAGATCCTGACCTAGCCAATTTAAAAACTTCAGAGGAGTTTGAGCCTTTGCTTAAAAGGTTTGATGAATCATTTATCAATGAGAGTGCCATTAATGCCATTAAATCCTTATTTGGCATGTTCAACAAGAAATAAAGCCGTGAATTCACCTCAGGAACTTCAGGAGTTATATGATTTGAGTTCAACGTTGCCTACTAGCATCAAAGAAGTTAAGAATCTCCCCAACCATCCATGGAAAAGAAGTTACCCTTGTATAATTTTGCTCACAGCATTATGTAGTCTCTTATTTGAGTTTTGTCCATCTTAATCCGAACAAAGCTGAAAACTAAATATTGGTTAGATAGGGCTTTCATACATAATTTTGGTGTCCTTATAGTTATTCCAAAATGTGTTCATGTCTAATCTCAAGATCTCTTATTATCTAGCCAAAACATTTCAAGTTTTTTCTGCCTTTCCAATTACATTGAAAGTTCATTTGCCTTTCAAATAGGCAATGGATTAAGGTCCTCGTTCATTTTTTCCCCCTTCTAGATCGAGGGAGCAGGTTAATGTATGTTATTAGAAGGACATCCGCACTACGCTATAGGAATTGGTAACCAGATTTACATATTCACTTTCTTAATTAGTAAGCAAAGAACATTACAGCATTTTTTTTTTTTTTGCTTAAAATAGGAGCAATGATACGACACAATTTTATGGAAAAATGAACAAAAAAATCGTAAACAGGGTCACGTTCTTGGTTCGATGGAGAATGAGTTTTGGGTCCGCGCGGTTACATGTTGGAGGTGGGATTTGATTTTAACTAGGTCTAGTATGTTTGGTTGAAAATGTTAAAGTGAAGCAATGAAATTACAATAAAAAAGACATAAAATTGTGGTCATCATCTCGCACAAAATTATAAAGCAGTGCTGGTATGTCCGGTTTCTTAAGTATGTGTTCGGTTGTCTAGTTCAGTTCTAATATTCCTACTGGTCTGAGGGAGAGTGTGATGATGCAATAGGGAGTTAATAAGACTCCAGAGAAAGATCAACATTTCGGATTGCCTATTATGATTGGGAGGGCCAAAATGAGGGAATTTTAAATATCGAAGGATCTGTTATGGCAACGTATGCAAAGGGTGGAGTGGCAGGCTCTTACATTGTGCAGGCAGGCAATATTGATTCAAGCGGTCAGGCAATTCCCCAATATGATAAGAGTTGTTTAAGTTTCCAAAAAAATAGTGTTCATAAAGTAAATATGATCATTGCAAATTGTCCCGTAAGACCAAGATAACACCTCTCATAAATAATAATTATCTTGAATTCTTCTATAGTTAGGCAAGATTTCAATGATTATATTTTTTTAAAACATTTTTTTAGCACCTGTTAAGGTGTTATCTTAATTTAAAACATTTCTTTCTTTTACTTTGAAAACCAAATTAAAGTTTAGGGTTTAGGATTTTAGGTTTCGGGTCTCAAGTTTGGGGTTTCATTTTTTATTTTTTGGGTTTTATGAGAATGGACATGAAATGAATGCAAATTACAAAAATTTCATTAATGAATGTATGTGCCAAACACATGACCTAAAAACATAATTATAAACTAAAGTATTTTCAAACTTAATATCATAAACATATAATGCATTAAGTTTCAAGACAAAAATGGATCAAATATGGAAAAACTTTAAATTTTGGTTTGAATGTTCCACCATTATTCATCATTCATCGTAACCAAAAAACTTCAAAAATCCACAAAAAACAACCATCAAACAACATTTTTTCAATAAAAATTTTTATTTAAACATGTTAGAAAATTGCCAAACATCATAAAACATAGCATAAAGCATGGATCAAAAAACCAAAAATCATAAAAGCATGGAACAAGGTTCGGCCAAACACATGCAAACCATAGTCGAACCTTCATGATATTTTCTTACTTCCATTTTTGTGTCATTTCATCTATACAAAGCAATGATCACTTGGAACTTACTTCATGAAGAGATTTATGGCATTAAAACAACTTCAATAAACTTGTAATGATCCAAAAATGACAAGGAATTTATATGAACAAAAATGGTAGCCAAACAATAACATATATATTCAATCAACCACAAAACATGCTAATCAAACATATAATCATCATTTAAGCACCATAAGCCAACATTTGAAGCAACAAAGAGATGAAGAAGGCCAAGACAAGGTTTGACCAAACAAGAACACACCATGGCCGAACGTCCAACTTGTTTTCTATGGTTAATTTGTGTTTTTTTCTCAGTTGAATTTTGGCTTCAATCCAACTATTAGTTAATTGGATAAAGTTGTTTTAAGTTCCAAGTAAAAAAAAAGAACTAAAAAGCTTTAAGAAAAACAAAGAAAATGGATTAAACTAGCATGGAAATGTTATGAAATGTGATGGAAAATGCATGAACATTGGAAAATTGGTGTTATGAAAGTATAACTTCAAAACCAAGCATAAAGAATTTTTCTCCTTTTTTTTTTCACAAATTTTTTTCTCCCAATTATCTTTTCCACGAGCTCCTTTATCCTTCACATTTCTTCAGTAGTTCTTTTTTCTGCAAAAAGAGTTTTCCCTTGAATGAAGAAGAAGCAAAAAAAAACTTATATTAAATATAGACCTTAGGATCAATTCTCATCCAAGGGCCAAAATTCCTCCCTTATTTCTAATCCAAGAGCAATCTTTAGCCATTGGATCAAGATTTCTTATGAGATATAATGATCCCTATTGTTCACTGCAAATGTGTGATTTTTAAAGCCCTTAAACCAATGAAAAGATCATTTTGCCCTTAGTATAAAGTTTTCAATTTTTAGCCATTTTCTTAGAAATCAATGTTACCATGTGCATTTTTAGGATTTCAAAGCACCAATGATCATGAAATATTATGAAATTAAGATCTAAAAATTTTTGTGAAAATTTGACCTCAGGAATGTCAAATTATAAAAATACATCCAAAATGGTATTTTGATAATTTCACACTTGCTGTGATTCTAAATGCACTAAAATTCATCAAATATTATAGAACTATGATATAGAAAGTTTTGCTAAAAATTGACCTCAAAAAGGTTAAATTACAAAATTACCCATAAGAGGCATTTTTGTAATTTCACACCTCCCAAGGTACAATCAAGGTTTTCAAAATTTTAAAAATCATCAAATACTTAAAATCATGATTTAGAGCTTTTTGCGAAATTCGAACCTCGAGAAGATGAAATGGCAATTATACCCCAAAAAGGCGTTTTGCTTATTTCACACCTCCCAAGGTATGATCTAGATTTTCAATGAGTCAAAAATTATTAAAAAAATTCAATTATGGTTTGAAAATTCTCATGAAAATTCAACTACGAGAAAGCCAAATTACCATTACCAAAATACCCCTAAAGGTATTTTGGTAATTTTACACTTTTCGAAATATAAAAAGTTTTGTAGTGTTTTAAAAATCTCAAATTTCAATTTAATCAACACAGATTCCATTTTTGATTTTGAACTTTGAGGATTGACCTAGGTTTTATCCATTTTGATCAAATTTTGTGCAATTTTGACTTTGTTTGACTAATTTTTCTTTTGTTGGCCAAGTTTGACCATTTTTTACCAAAGTTAACTTTGGAGTATTTGGGTGAAATTGGTCTAATTTTTAATTTTAAAAACTTGTCAAAATTTGAAAAACTATTGGATTTGAGCTGGGTTGAATTTTTTGTGTTTTAAAAGTGGTTGAAATTTTGTTCGGACAAAATTAGGTATCTACAGCTATTAATCATCCAAATGGTCCAAACATTTATGCAATTTGGTGGTTTGCCCAATGATGATCCCAATCTCCATATTTTTTTCTTGAAGTTTGTGATATTTTTAAATACAATGGAGTTTCTTTGATGCAATAAGACTAAGGCTTTTTCTTTTTCTCTTAGGCATAAAGCGAAAAGTTGGCTATCTTCACTTCCATGTAGCTCAATCACAACATGGGACAATTTGGTGCAAAAGTCCTAACCAAATTCTTTCCACCTACCAAGACAACAATAATGAGGAATAGGACAACCGTATTTCAATTGTTTGAAAGAGAAACACTTCATAATTCATTGGAGATATACAAGGAGCTACTAAGGAAGTGTTCATATCATGGGCTACCAAAATGGCTCAAAGTGTAAATTTTGTACAAGAGTCTGATGCCACCCACAAGAACAACAATTGACTCAGATACACGAGGTGCCTTGATGAGCCAAATCCATTAAAGAAGCTTACAATTTGATTGAGAAAATGGAGGCCAAAAATTAGCAATGGGGTGCTGAAAAGATACTCCGTAAGAAGGTATTTATGGTATATGAACCTAACACTTTTACTTCTATTACTTCCTAATAGCTGCCTTAACCCCAAAGTTAAAAGAACTAGGAACCCAATCACCAATATCTCTTGTCTAAGCCATCCAAAGCCTTTACTTGACTTGTGAAATTTTTGAAAAACCACACTTAACCAATATGTGCCAATGTAAGATCAAAACCATTTAGTATGCTACCTAAACCAAACAACCACACAATCTCTATAGCGATAGCTATAACCTTGGCTAGAAGAACTACTCAAACTTTTTCTAGAACAACCACCAGAACACTACCCAACCTTCAAATTTTTGCCAACAACAACAACTCTAACATCCACCTAAAGAAAAGAAACTCAACTTAGAGAAGATGTTCTATCAAATTCTCTAAAACCAAACCACCACATCTCTAATACCAGGCCACATCCATTAAGAACCTAGAAATTCAAATAGGCCAACTAACCAAAGTCCTCTTTAACCACCCTATTGAAAGTACACCCTATGAAGAGTCAACTACCCTAACCTTTAGAAATGGAAAAATCTTGCAAGAAAAATTTACATCAAGCACCCTTAAAGTGACCTTCAAAGAACTATTGGAGGAAGTCATATTAGATAATGAAAAAGAAAGGCATGTCAAAGAAGATGAGAAGTTTATAGCAAACAAAGCTCACACTTAAGGATTGACAAAATCACAACCATTCTGTCCACCTATCATGTTTCCATAAAAATTTTAGCATCAAAGGGAAGATAAACAAATTGAAAATTTGCAAAAATCTTCAAGAACCTTCAACCCACATTCTTTTTTCTAAAGCCATAAAAAATATACCAAAGTATGCCAAATTTATGAAAGAAATCCTTTCTAAGAAAAGGCAATTAAAAGATTTTGAAACAAGTAGTGGCAAGATAATGCAACACCATCCTACAACAAGGGTTGCCGCTAAAGCTCAAGGACCCAGGGAGTTTCACTATACTTTGTACCATTGGTAGTCAATATTTTTTATAAAGCTTTATATGACATTGACATTAGTATTAATGTCATGCCTTTATCCATTTTTAGAAT